CTCATGTTGTTCCAAACCTGTATGAGTTTCTTCCTTCTGTTGAACACAGAGGAAGATATTGTGAAGAACATTGGTGACCAAACATTTTCTGGTCCCCACTGACTTCCATGGCAAGCTTTGGTTGCCAACATTCTTCAAAACATCTTATGTGTTCAACAGAAGACAGAAACAAGATGAGGGTGAGTAAATGATGACAGAATTTTCATTTTTGTGTGACCTATCCCTTTAATGCATTTGCTATGAACCCAAAGATTTAAACCCCTAATGGGAATGATTTAGTTTTAATGTGTTGTGTCACATGGTGTTTGCGGATATTTTGGCATATTAAAATAGAATTGATTCATGAGTTGTCACACAGGTGTGTGTGTATCGGCTATTTAAAAAATGATTCAAACGTGGTTACAAATCATTCATTATGTATGACTCTTTTGAATCTTTTGTTCAAGTGTTACATAATTTGAATGCGTTTTTGCACTGATGCCAGACTTATTCATTCATTTGTTATGAAAAATCTTATCTTTTGGTTTACGTCCATCAAATACCTTTCATTGGCAAAGTTTGATTAATTTAGTGGATTATCCAAAAACAGACATTACCACATGGTTATGCAACACATCTGAGTTATATTTCCAGCACAGACAACAATATTATGACATAAAAATACTCATTTGGTGATATAAGATTACCTTATCTATCTGTGGGTCGCCAACCCTGTGATGGTCCACACAGAGGTAACAAACACGAGACATGAGCTCGAACGGATGCAGGAAGAGACGGGAACTTAGCAGGAAGGTGAAAATGTATGATCGCTGAAAAATGACAGGCAAATCTCAAGCGTCAGTCAAACTTTGACCTTTACCATGAAACTACTGATTATCACAGGCAGAGAAGGCTGTATACTTACGTCAGGGTAATAGTCCACAGTAGGGACTAAGAGCTGTATCAGGGCTTCCAGAGAACCAGACACAAGCTTATTATCACGATAGTGCAGACCCCCATAGTTCTCCTCCACAGGTTGGCGGTGACTATGGCTGCTGCTGTAAGTGCTAGGGTTGAATTTGCTTGAATATGGAGTTGTCTGTGGCATTTTGGACCTGTGGATGAAAACATTAGTCATACAGTAAGAAAGTTGCATAGCAGCATCCCTCTGAAGCAAGGTGTGAAATGAACACCCACCACCAGATGAACGCAGATACATGCATGCAGTCTGTATTTTGCTTATCTACTAGCCAAGGTGGCGGCTAACGGTCTTGAATTGACATTTAGCTGTCGGTTTAAAATAAGTAAATAAGCCACGACAGGGATACATTTATAAACACACATTTCTTGGAATATTACTGAATTTTTTTTTCTTTTCCAACCCATTCTAACTTATGCTTATGAACTTTCAAAGTCAATATTAGCAAGACCTCATCAGAGAAAGCCATGTTTAACATTTTAACTGTCACTGGCCAAGCGGTGGGCCCAATTAACCCATTGTTAACCTTCCTAATCAAGACAAACTGTATATCATTGGAAAGCTCTTTTCGTATCCCCCCCCCCATTTTCTATTTAGAACTAGCTTGACTTCAATAATGTGCAAAGTGCTTTCTTTAAAAACCAGTCTAAACTTAAAACCATCCAAGATGTACAGATTTCAGTTGGAAATGTTATTATCAGGTCTATGCTGAAACAGTGGGACAGTTAACAGGTTAAGTTTAGTTGTTGGTTGTAAAGGCACGCATATTTGGTCAACATAAGCTAGTTAGTAACACAGCACCAGTAGGGCAAGTGACACTTCTGACAACTGGCTCAAACCTCTCTCAGGTTGAACCCTGGACAGGAATATTGTCAGCAATATTGTCACTAAAAGTGCCCCCGATATTTAAATTGTGAAAATGTAAAAGTGTCAGGGAGAAAAATTAGGCTGCATAAACAAAATACCAAAGTATTGTACAATTATTATAGAATATAATGATACAGTTTACAGCACCTCCGTCAAATGAATAAAAACAAAGCAAAAGCACACCCAATGTGCATTCTTTATTCCTGATTTTATGGATATAGAGTTAAAAAATATTATGCAGAAAAGGTACATGGCCATCTTGCTCCAACCTAAAGTTATCTGAACGCACCTGACAACCGTCGTAATTACAACTTCCCAACTCGTAAATATGAACTTCCCCGGAGGAACTGAACACACCATTATTTACAATCAGGAACGGTTATCAGCGAATGCTGACACTACAATTATTTGCACAATGCAAAAGTTAATTTCTGATATTTCAAGCTATTTTAAAGCAATTCAAATTGGGAGAACACAAACAAACTAACAAAATGCAAAAAGGCATTTACCAGGTCAGAAGAAAAGTGATTTTTTAATTCCCCTCCTGCTCTGGAATCTCTAAAGCTCCTGTATACTAGGTGTACTCTTCACTCTAAACACTGTTATTGGGTTAAGGTAGGGCTGGACGATATGGACAAAATTTATATCACGATATAATTCTTAATTTCGGTCGATACGATATAATTCCGATATCGATATGAACACTATTTTTTTTTAAAAAGCCTCATAAAAACTGCCAAGAACACCCATAACAGATGTCTGTACCTAAAAACTTCTGAAAAATGAAGTTTCCAAGTCTATGAAACCTCCTCCTATAAAACAGCACAAATAAATTAATGTTTACCTTATATCAAACTATAGGCTGACATACACTACCAGTCAAAAGTTTTTGAACAGTAAGATTTTTTATGTTTTTTTTAAAGAATTCTCTTCTGCTCACCAAGTCTGCATTAATTTGATCCAAAATACAGCAAAAACAGTAACATTTTGAAAAAACAGTAACATCTATTTGAAAATATGATTTATTCCTGTGATGCAATGCTGAATTTTCAGCATCAGTCTTCATGTCTTCATGGTCACACGATCCTTCAGAAATCATTCTAATATTCTGATTTGCTGCTCAAAAACATTTATTAAAAACAAAAGAACAAAAGAGTAGAATTTTTTCAGGTTTATTTGATGAATAGAAGGTTCAGAAGAACAGCATTTTATCTGAAATAGAAATCTTTTGTAACATTATTATCTTTTTTGTATAAGTAAAATAAAATTGCAGCGCTAAATAAAATTTCTATAATTCCTTTCCCCAAAAAATTAAAATTATACTGACTCCAAGCTTTTGAATGGAATAGTGTACAATGTTACAAAAGCTTTTTATTTCAGATAAATGCTGATCTTTGGATCTTTCTATTCATCAAAGAATCCTGAAAAAAAAATTCTCAACTGTTTTAGATATTGAGAATCAGCAAATCAGTATATTAGAATGATTTCTGAAGATTTAAAATAACTGCTTTCAAATAGAAAGCAGTTATTTTAAATGGTAAAAAGAATTCAAAATTTTACTGTTTTTGCTGTACTTTGGATCAAATAAATGCAGCCTTGGTGAGCAGAAGAGAATTCTTAAAAAAAAACAAAAAAAAACATTAAAAATCTTACTGTTCAAAAAAACCTTTTGACAGGTAGTGTAGGCTGATTATTCTTATAGATTGAAACAAATGTGCTTCAGCCAGGATAAAGAATATGAAAAGTGCTCTGAGTTGCTGCAGAAAACAAAAATGGAGCAACAACTAAAACATGTTGCTGGAGACGGGCTTATTGAAAATGCAAACTCATTCTTTGCCAGCTTTTAGAGTGATAAAACTAGCGGCTTCCCCGGTAACGACTGTAATCAAAGCAGCTCCGCTCATGAACGCTACTTTATCAGATAAAAATGAATATGTCATAGACACCCGCGCCATGTTATGATTTTGAAACCGCTCATGAACGCTACTTTATCAGATAAAAATGAATATGTCATAGACACCCGCGCCATGTTATAATTTTGAAATGTGCAGTGCTCAACGAAAATCAAACGCCACAAATAAATCAATGTATGGGAAACACTGGTAATGTATATCGAAATATCGGTAATGTGTTTAAAAATATCACCGTTATTGAAAAAAAATTATATCGCGATACATATTGATATTAAATTATTGTCCAGTCCTAGATTAAAGGCGTCATATGATGCTGCTAAAAAGAACCTTTAAAGTTTAAAAAACACACTATTTTCCACATACTGTACATTATTGTTTCTCCTCTATGCCCCGCCTTTCTGAAACACGTCGATTTTTACAAAGCTCATCGGTCTGAAAAGCGAGGTGTGCTGTGATTGGCCAGCTTTCCAGTGCGTTGTGATTGGCCGAATGGAAATCGCATCATATGACCCCTTTAAGGAAGAGTCTTGTGGTCAAGCAGGTTTAATGGCAGGACTCTTTTCTTGAACCACTGATCTGCATCACGACACAGACCTACTCCACTCCATGTAGAAAACACAATACAGAGGGAAGAATTGTTCATTTGTGCGATAAAAGCCTACGTGAAATGATCCGACGTGCTCGTGGTTAAAAGCAAACGTTCCGAATTCTGAAAAACAACTCATTTGACTGGCAACCATGTTTCCATGACAACAGTGACTCACTGACCAACCACGTTACGTGCCAATCTTCCCTTTCGAACGAGTCTCGTGACTTTTCTTATTCATCGATCATTAAGGCGATATTATGTCATCATGTACTCATGTTCCAAACCTGTATGACTTTTCTTTCTCGCGCGAGGAGATGTTGAGCAGAATGCCAGTCTTTCGCTGAAAGGAAAAAGATGAAATGAAACTGAAAGCTGACCGAGGCTGTCAGCACCTAACATTCGCAATTCCTTTTTTAGCAAGAAAATCATATGTGTTTGGAGCAAGTGGAGGAAGTTCTGAAGGTGTTGTTTTTTTGGAGAAGCATAGTAAACAACTTCATTGCAAACTTTTCTGTAACAGGTCAGTGTGACAGAACGGGACGGGTTATAACAAACATACAGAAAATGAAGAGGAAGAGCTGGTAAACAGACTAATTACACGAATCTGCCCTTCAGTAACAGGCACTGACTCATCAGAGCAGACTGAAAATCACAGATGGACGATGTGCAACATGTATGAGCGAAACGAAAACAAGCTCAAACAGACGGGGGGGGGGAAACTTTCAACATCTAAAAAAAGTGAAACTGTTTAACTAAATATGAATAACTAAATATGCACTAAACTACATGTCTTTTTAAAGCGAATCGAGAAACGTATTCATTTTAAAACGAGAACGTTACGTGTATTGTTTGCACAATTGCACATTATACAAGTATAGAAAATAGCACGAATGGCAGATTTTTGAAAGACAGTGATTTACAAACTTACCACAAAATTAAAAAGGTAAATTTACGAGAAAGCTGAGGATATGAGGATTTTCTAGATCCAAGAAAGTGCAGCAGAAAGCCTCCAAAACGCGTGCGCACCCCAGATCAAGTTGCTTTCTTACAATGAAAGCTGGCTGGTAGTCTTCTTGTCTTTCTCTTGAGCGCGATACTAATGATCAGTTCGCTGTTAGCGTGGCGCACACGGATACTGTGTGATGGTCTCCATTGTTTTACCGATAATCCTGATCGTGAGCATGAGAAACTAATATCATTGAATTCCTGTAACACCGAAAGCATTAAAGAAGGAAAACCGGAAAATGCGGTCTCGCCCACAAGGAAAGACCGACCAATCAGAGGCAGGAATTTAAAAAATTGAAATTTCCCAGTGATCTTATTGGCCAGCGCGATGTCCATCAACTCCCAAGACGCTCGCAAACCACGGGCGAACAAAAACAGTCGGTTGTTTTGAGGGTTCAAGTTTACTGAGGCTGTCTGTGCACACCCTTCACTTGTTTTATTTTCCAGAATACATCAGCATTCGTTCATTTTGGCTCTGAGAGGCGCTATAATCTATATACAGGGCGTACTATTTTATCATTTAGATATTCAAAAGGCAAGGGATATTCAAAAGTAAGGACGAAGAAAGCGCCACTTGTTTCATTAAATGAGGATGTACAAGTACACAGTCTTCATGAAACAATATGCAAGCAATACCAGGAAGGCCTACTGTATTCCCTGAGATTTCAAAGTGTGCGAAAAGCTAGCTTTGCTATCTCATAAGGCCTGAAGAGTCATCAGAAGTCCAAAAAAGTGTACAAGGTAGGCCTAAGTGTTACAGGTACCAAGAAAGTAACTTGAATTAGCACCCGAAGAAATTGTTAGGCAATATAGTGGATGTATAGACAGAATGTATTTATATTATACATCTGCCTACATACACAACGTACATAATCAGTGCTTAAGAAATTTGCTCAAGAATATTATGAAATTATGAGAATAGAGTTTTTGCAGTGATGACGTGCATCACCTTGGTTTCTTTTGACTAAAAACCAATAGGATTTTTCCATTGGCTTTTATGTAAAAGTTGAATTGCATCAATGCAGAGGTAAGAGCTGCATTAGCAAGTATGTTTACACACACAAGGAATTTGGCTGGAAGCTCCCGTCGCCAAGTCAAATTCCTTGTGTGTGTACTTGGTAATAAAGCCCTTTCTGACTTCTGAATTATTACAGAAAATAGGCTCTGTGACCAACATTCTTACGTGTTTTGTTCATCATGATAATCTATAATCGAGCTACACCATGGTCGCAGGACTTCAACATCACCATTACTAAGCTTTCACCAACTCTTTCAGTCTTCATTTAAGAAACATTTTCCCTGAAAGTTCAAATTCGAATAGTTTGCAAGAGCGTAATTATAACCACAACGAGGCTATGAAAGCAGCGTGATGGTGTTTAATGTCTTTGACAACCTCTGCAGTCCCATTTAGCCACTTTTAGCAACCGCCTTTTTCAAGACAAGCAAAAGCTTTAAAAGAAACTGCAAGGGGTATTACTAATGGATTTTATGGATTTTAAATGTAATCTTGAGCTTGTGTTAACCACAAACCTTATTTCAGACATTAACCCAAAACTCTTTCAGAAAACCCATTGACACAATGGTCTAAAATGCTAACTTATTAGCAGAGTTTGGCCCTACAAAATTTTGCCATCCCTGCAGCATTCTATACAAACACAACTATTAATTTCAAACAAGTTTCCAGAAAACATTCCCAGTCTGCCATTGGTTGGTCAAAAAGATAGTCCCGCCCCAAAATTCACATTATTGGTAAGGCAAATGTTGCGGTGTGCAGTATTCCCATGATAAACACTGCCTTCCCACTCTTTCCAGAACCGCTTATTTTTTATTTCTGTGGGTGTGGTCGACTCTAAGTGGGAGTTTTGTGTTATGTAAAAGTTGAATTACATCAATGCAGAGGTAGGCAAGTCTCATTTTATAAGTAGGTGGATTTCATTTCGAGCCCGTACCTCTCCAGCTCCACTCAACAAAGTGTCTGTAAGAATAATTCACCCCTGCGAGGCCTTTCCTGAATGATGTGCTTCGCCCACACCGTTAAGAGGCACCTAATGGTGAGAGTTTGACTTGAGCTCTGTAATAGTGCTTCAAGCTGAAGCTTCTGTTGGATTCCACCCACGGCTCTGAAGCCCTGAAACCCTCTGGCCCCTGCAGGGCTTCAGCTACAGAAGGATGGTGTTATCACATATGGTGAACACACATCTTCAGCTTACACCCACAAAGACTCAACCAATAGAGCAGAACCCTTTGGGAAATCCAGTCTTTTATATCTCCAAACTAGCTGTGATGATGTTATTCTTTATAGACTGAGGTTACATAACCGGAATCTACGTCAGCACACACTTCACAAGAAAGTTTCCTTTGCTATTTTTTCCTGCCAAACATGCAACAGCAGTGGTATGACCTTTTAGTTGCATATTAAGTTTCCTGCATAAATAAGCATTTTGGCTGGACTATCTCTGGTGATATTCCTATAACTTTCACAGCAGTATAGTCAAAGCAAGTAATTTATAGAGTAGAATAAAATAAAATCTAAATAAATAAAGCTTTACTAATTTAAACCTCTTAAGCTGTGTTCCAAATTTGAGTTTGATATCTAAAAAAAAAAAAAGATTTTGTTTGGGTGCAGTACCAAACATAAATTAATTTTATGCAAACCATGATTTTTAAATAATTTTTTTAATACATTTAAAAATATATATATTTTAATTTATTTTTTCAGGTAATTGCAGGTTTACATCTCACAATTCAGACTTTTTTCTCAATTATTATTTTATGTCTCGCAATTATGACTTGCGAGGTATAAACTCGCAATTGGGTCACAGTTGTGTGTTATAAAGTCAGAATTGCGAGATATAAACGTGCAATTCTGAGAAATAGTCAGACTTGCGAGATATAAACTCACAAATATGACTTATCAGAATTATGTTTATATCTTTCAATTATGACTTTATTTTTTGCATTTTTGAGTTCATATCTCGCAATTCTGAGAAAAAAGTAAAATCATAATTGCTAGAAAAAAGTCAGAATTATGAGATTAAAAGTCGCAGTTACCTTTTTGATTTTTTTTTTATTCAGTGGCAGAAACAGGTTTCCATATTTTTGTTCACATAGCAAGTGCCAAAACCTTTACCAAGTTTCGTACCATTCCGATTAAGTAAAAAAAAGTTCTAAAAAAAAACAAAACAAAATATTTTGGTCAAAAATGACTGAAGAGCTCTGGAGGGTTAAGAAAAATAGGAATATAGTACCTAGTTGCCATCTGCTTGTACTATACCAAGACAATCGAAACAAGCAAAAATGCTAAACATTCACTTAAGGGAAATTCCATGTGACAATGGAAATGAAACCTGCAAGCCATTAAGGATGAGTGCAGAAACATCTGTTGGGTCGACAATGGATAAGCTTGAATAATGGGGGTGGGAGTGTGACTCACTGCTTTCCAGTAAGAAAGTGATTCAGCCCCCCGGCTCATTGACCTTCAAACATGGTGCCCTCTGTGTGCGACTGAATAGTTCAGTACCTCCGTCAGCTGTCCCCATGTTCATGGTGACGCCACCACCGCAAGTGCATCTCACATGCACACACACATGAAGGTGAACTATTCATGTCTGGGTCAGCCACTGAAATAGCATTTCTGATGAGCACAGTTCAAATCGCCTCCCACCTATCTTTTTCAGTAGGAGTTTCCTGTAAATGTACATATGAGTGAATTATTGAGAAAAATAATAAATAATGAATGTTTTTGTCAGCTAAAATAGACGTTTGATTTGAGTTCTGTGGTAATTCAGATGATGACTAATCGCAATTTGTGTGATCAGTCCAGACCAATTCGCAACAAGTGCCACTCTGTTGGAACAACCAACGCATTTTATACCTGCTTTGTTTTTAGTTGCTTTGTCTTCTAACTGATAATTGTTTATGATTTTAACATTTCTAGGTACCCCTTCCACTCTGCAACTTAATTTCTGGCTGATTTGAATTCCCAAAGCTAAAGGCTTATAATGAACAAATAACACAAATTCCTATAAAACACTTAAAACCAAAAGTATAAAGTGTATTTTGTTCCATGAAACATAACAGGAGATGTTGTGAAGAATGTTCATGCTGGTCTTTTCCTTAATGAAACCATAAAGTGACCATGTGCTGTCAAGATGAACAAAATAACATAAGAAAGTAGTATTTTGAAGCCATTTTTTGTGATTGAAAATATTTTCTTCTGCTGAAGCTTTTGTGCCAGGTTGGACGATTATTCCAGTCCCTAACATTTTCACTTTTGTTGCAAAGAAAACATTTTTTCAACCTGCTAATTAATTTTTTTAAATAATCATGAGAGAATATCTTTTTAAAATAATTTTATTACATATTCTACATTTTTCAAAAATTTCATTTGATGAGATTTGAAAGTTAATAGATTAAAATTAATCAAAATATTAGTAATATGATGCCTTTGCTAGCTAAATAATGTTGAATATTTATATTTAGAGCTGCAGGTGGCTGGAAGAGTCTTTGGAAGGGAAGGTAAAAATGATACAAACAGGATGGGCTGCAACATGGCTGTGTCATTACATTTCAGCGCTGTTGTAGCCCTCCTCCATCTCCTACGTGATCCAAATTTGTTTACCACTTACTTTAAAGAGCAGAGTTAGAGTGTAGTAACATTCTGACAGAGCCTCATTGTGTAGCCATGCAGACAGATCTGTTCATTATGAGCATATGTGGGTGTGTGTGTGTGTGTGTGTGTTCAAGCTCAAGGGAAAGGGAGTGGATAGGAGTGCAACTCTTCAAGCTCACATACATGCACATGCACATGCACACAAAGCGGGAACAGTAAGTACAGCTGGCCAGGAAAAACAACAGGGGAGAGGGAGGGACTTTCAGGAAGAGAGGGAAACTGAAGGAGAACAACCTCAACCAGACAGGATCTCATTCCCAAAGTTTGTTTTCTCTCTCTCTCTCTCTCTCTCTCTCTCTCTCTCTCTCTCTCTCCGTGTCTCATTTGCTCCATCTCTTTCCAACCCAAAGTGAAAAAGTAAGAAAACAGGGCAGAGAGCAACAGCTCCTGCGTCACAGCATGTAAAAAATGTGGCATAATCAACAGTCACTGGAGACACTGTTGCTGTTGGGAGTTGGGATGTTTGTTCACGGTAGTGTTATCTTTGTACATTATAGTTAAATTTAACTTCCAAAAAAAGTGATAACATTACTCCCTTGTGTATTGTGGTTTCCTCTGAACTTACTTAATCCTAAATAAAAATACTTATTGCT